TTATCTTAATCATAATCATAAACAATAACAATCTAGGTCTGGTATCATTTATTATCATATACAATTCATATGTAATCTGTATTCATGGTAACCTTTTTTTTTCAAAAGGAAAAGAGGAAAAAAAATCTCTTTGTGATTTATTAACATTAAGTTGATTTATTGATTGTTTGAGTTGATTAAAGTTGATTGTAAATTTTGTGTTTGTAGTTGATTAACTTTTTTACTTGTTGTTGATTTGTTGGAGCTTTTTAATTGATTATGTTTCTTGATTTTCATTGAATTGTTTGGTAGCTTTTTCCTTGGGAGTTACGATTCATTTTATTGGAACTGGATTAAGATTTAATTGTAAATGAATTTATTTATTATTCTTGGAAAAGGATTATCTTTGTTGGTTTTATCTCTCACTCTCTCGATTGAGAGGATTTATCTTCATTGTCTTCAGGTTATATCATCACCATGAGAAACTGGATTAAGATGTTGATCTGATTGCCAACTGAAAAGGGTTTTCATATATTCAATCAATTGATTATATTGATCATGATTAAGATGATGATGATGATGAGGATTATCTTCCCTTTCTTTTGATTATCATCATGATCATTTCCATGAATAGCATAAGATGTTAATCCTTAATGATTGAAGTTTGTAATATGTTGATTGAAAATCAACATCAATTTGTAATTAATTTTTTTTAGAGAAAAAAAAATCAATCAACCTTTTCTAATCAATTCAATTATTGATTAATTATGTTCATCCAAATATATTAATTAAGATTTAATCAATTAATCATGAGAGTTAAGACTATTAATAATTAATTACAATTTCCAAATGATTGGTACGAGTTGATCATTAAACTGTAAATGGATTTAAATTGTGACGATTATTGATTTTTAATAGTAATTCATTTTTCCTCAACTAATCATCTTAATATTGATTTAATTTCTCCCCCTTTTTTTAATCATATTAATGGTGTTGACAATTTACACAGTTTCACAATCGTGATTGTTATCAATTGATTGAGTTAACTGTCAATTTAGTTGACCAATGTCCAGTTTCTGGTTCACTGGATTAACCATTTAATAGTAAATTTTAACAAAAGATTGAACAAGATTAAGATTATAATCTAATCCTTTCTCCTTTTTTTCCCTCATCATTTTTCATCCCTTATCTTTATCAACTCCTCCACCCACTGACCACCACTGACCACTATGATATTACCTTTTCCTTTTGATTGGAAACCTGAAAAAAAAGATTAGTCCATCGGATTTAAATTGTTAAAGGAATTAACTGATTAGTGGGTGAAGAGAAAATTTTTTTTCTCTCTCATTAAATTACATAGACTTTTCTTAAGGTTTCCTATTACCTTATTAACTGACCAGTGGTCAGTTTCAAATTGAATACAATCAATCAACAACAATGATAATCATAATAATAATAATGATAATCAATTGATTGTTAAAGGATTATCATTATTAATGGTTGACTGATTGTTCATATAAAATAGTTTAAATTAATAGTAATCAATTGTGCCAATCAACTGAGATGAAATTAAATTAAATTAAATCAAGGTGGTCCAATATAATAAAAGGTAACAATTAAAATTGTTACGATTAAATTGTTAATTTAGCTTTTTAAATTGTTGATTAGTGTGAGTAACTTAACAAATATAAAGGAAAAGTTTGTTCATTATAACAAATAATCAACATCATCAATTACAATTATCAAATTAAAATCAATCAAATTGTGACCATTTTATTGATTTAATTTTGGAGGTTGAAAATTGTTACAATTAAATTTAATTTAGTTTCCATTTTTTTATTGAGATGGAACAAGAAATTATTATTATATTTAAACAACAAGTTGATTTAAAGTTAATTTGGTTCATTTTTTTTTTCATCTTCTTGATGATCAACAAAGTGATTTAATATTTTCATCTCATTAATTTAATTGCTTATATATTTACCAATAATTATTATCACCATTGCAAGTATCATGAAAGTTAATCATCATTAAAACTCATCAATTAACTTAATCAATGTAATATAATTTTCCAATCAAAAGTGATTTAAGTGCAACAACTTATTATGTATCAAAGTGGAAGCAAAAAAAAAATATGTAACTTGGTAAGAGAGAGAGATGAAGAAAAATGGAAGATAAGGAAGATAATCTTTCTTTTTTTCTTTCTTTTTTACTTTGTTGACCTTTTTTCGAATTAAATTTTATGCTCTCTTTCTTTCGCCATCCTCATCTTCATCTTTATCATCATCCTCATCATCTTCATCATCTCTAATTTGTTAGATCGCTTGGATAACCATCAATAGATTGGCCTCTAATAGACCATATTTTCACTCACTCTCTCTCTCTCTCTCATCTTCCCAATTAAATCAGCCGATAACTGGGCCACCCTGGTTGATGATTTGGGGTGGAAGATGATGATGATGATGAGAGAGAGAGAGAGAAAAGAAAGAGGAAATTAATATCATCATTCTGTAGATTAACGGTCAAAAAGGTTGGAAAAAAAATCAATCCAAGTGAAAGAGGAAAAAATTATTAAAATCACTTTTCAGATTAAATTATCATCCTAATCATCCTCATCCTCATCCTCATCTTCATCATCTTCATCTTAATCTTAATCTTCATCATTCTCTTTCTTGATAATTTTCTAATTCTCATCTCTAATCTTCATCATTGACCATCGAGTTTCGTGTTGGCGGGAAAAACTTTTTTCATATCGAATTCAAATCTTTCCAATTGTTTAGATTTAATTTATTATCGATTAATTTTAATTAACTTTTAATTTTGGATTAATTTTTCTCGTCGCCTAACAATCAACTGTTTTCCATTACAATTATATTCACAATTACAATTAAATTTGTTAAATTGTTTCCACTTTTAAGGTTCATAGGTTATCATGATTAATGTTGAACAATTAAAGTTTCATTTGTTTTATTAATATTTTGTATTCCTTGATTATGATTAATTTAGTTAAATTATTTTTCATTAACTTTTGGTTTAAATTAAATAAATTGGAAACAATTATCATTAATATCAATTTCTCAACAGTTTTACCCTTCAAACAATTAACTGATTGTTTTACTTTATCATTTAATCAAAAATGTTTAATTGTTGTTAACTAATCATCTGAATTTGATTGTAAATCATTAATAGTTAATGGAGACAATTAGTTTTCTCATTTGTTTTTGCTTTTTTGTCATAATTTAATTTAAACTGAATTAAAGTTTAACCATCATGAGGACAATTAATTTTGATTACAAGTCGAAAATTAATTATTAACTGATAACAAATGATGAGGAAGATGAAGGATGATTAAGATGAAGATGAAAAAAGTTGGAAGAGAAAAAATTTTCTTCAACTTTGTTAACAAGTAAAAAGAAAGAGAAAAAGAAAGAGAAGATAAAATGGTAAACCAGTTTCTTTGTTTCTCTTTCTTTTTCTCTTTCTTTTTCTCTCTTTCATCATCTTCCAAGTTGTTCCCTTGTTATCTTTATATTTTTTTCACAAGTTTCTCCTCTCTCACCATTTATCTTCCTTTTTTTTCTTCCTCTCTAATTTCTCTTTCTAACTTATCTTCTCTTTCTTTCTCTCTCTGTCTTCTTTAGTTCGACCAACAGATGGCGCTTTTTTCGAACCTGGCGCCACCTGTCGGTTCTTTTTTCGAAATTCTCTCGATGAGAAAATTTTTCTTCCATTTTGTTGTTACCTTTTAATGAGTAAACACATTCAATAGAAATTCAATCTTTTCTCATCATTTTATCTTCTTCTTTCTTTTTTCTCTTTCTTTTGGCGAACTTAATCTTCATCATCATCATCTAATAGTCTTTTCAATTGTCTTGTGTGTTCTATTATCGAAAACCATCATCGCCTTGTTAATCTTCTTCTTCTCTTGTTGTTACTCTTTGTTACTTTTCCTTCAGTCATTGTCTTCAATTGGATATTTAAAATATTCTTTTCTCTAAATTAATATTCTATTCTATTCTATTAATGTTCTTCTCTATTTTTTTATTCTATTCTTTTTTTTCTTTTCCTTTGGTTAATTGATTGTGTGTCTCACAAAAACATCGAAAACTTTTGATTGAGATTTTCAACATTTTCTCTTCTCTTTTTTATACCTTTAACATTTTCATGGTGAGAATCATGAAGTATGTTCACTCTCAGCATCTCATCATCTTGTCATGTTGGTCAAGTTCAACTTGTTCAGTTCCATTATTATCTTAGGAATTTTTATCGTACCATGTGGATTAATTTTCTAGTGATATGTGTTATTAATTGTTATTATTTGACCAATGGATTTAGACACCAACATGCACTCCGTCACCATAGAGGTTTGTTTTGTATCTCTATTACAGTTAATCAATTTGTTTTCTATTCTCTTTTCCTTTTTTTTCTGTTCTTTTTTATTCTCTTTCTTTTTCTTACTAATCTCACTCTCTCTCTCTCTCCATCTACCAATTATCCATCAATAATTTTGATGGTCAACTATTTATCTAACTGTCTATGTCTCTCATTATCTTGATGTATGAGTAAGTGAATGAGTATCTCTCTCACTGTATACACAATCTTAATGACATAAAATCAAAATGATTATCAATATGTCTTCGTGAATGTCAATGTTAATAAGGATGATTTGTAATATTCCATTGCTTTACTTTTCTCTCTATGAGTTATATACACATAATTTTATTCTATCTTCTTCTCTCTGGTTCATTTTCTTCTCAACATCAACCATTACTTTCATCATTCTCATCCCAATGTATTCAATTTATTTTCTCTCTCTCTCTCTCTCTCTCTATTTTTCTTCTCTGTGTGTTCTCTTTTTCCCTCTACTTTTTTCATCTTTTCTTCTCTCTCTCTCTCCGTGTTTTTCTTTTCTACAACAAACTAACCTTCTTCTGCCTTTTCTCCAACAACAACAAAATAACTTTGCAACAAAAACAAATTATTGTTCTTTTTTTCTCTCTCTTTTTCTCTTCATCTTCTAGAGCACGTTCGAGAATTCAGTTGTGGTAAACTTTACTATAGAACATTTCATCTTGATTCTCGTCGGGATGTGCTTTATGTTGGAGCCATGGATAAAGTATTTCGACTTAACCTGGTCAATGTTAATCGGACCAATTGTGAAATTGATTCAGTGTCTCTAGAGCCAACTAGTGTTTCTAACTGTGTTTCCAAGGGTAAATCAGAGCATTATGATTGCCGAAATCATATCAGGGTGATACAACCTATCGGTGATGGTAATCGTTTATATGTTTGTGGTACCAATGCTCATTATCCAAAAGATTGGGTAATCAATTCAAATTTAACTCGATCCCATTCACCGGAATTAGTAAATTTCCCCGGAATCGGCAGTGGAATTGCTAAATGTCCCTTTGACCCCGAGGATAATGTGACCGCTGTTTGGGTTGAAAATGGTAATCCAGGTAATCTACCTGGACTTTATAGTGGCACCGTAGCCGATTTTACCAAAGCAGATTCTGTCATCTTTCGTACTGAACTGTTCAATTTAACCACTCGACAGTCAGTTCATCCATTTAAGCGAACCATAAAATATGATTCAAAATGGCTTGACAGTAAGTATCATTATTTCATGATGATAATAATCATTGGGATAATAATAATAACACTAATAACAGCATATATATTCATTACTGCCATTTACTCCCTCATCTCCCACTATTGCACTAACTTACTCACTCTCTCTCTCTCCTACTCACCCACCCTTTGTAACTATTTAAGCCTACGCCTGGTCAATAAGATCCACTTTTGATGTAATCGATTCTCTAAATCTTTTCCTTTTGCATCTTTGTCTCCTTTTTGTTGCCTTTTATCCTCTTTCTATCTTCATCTTCATCTTCTTCTTTTACTCTCTCCATCATCATTATCTTCTTCCCAAAGTGAAGACTCATCTCAATAGTCACACAGATTCAGATGAATTTACTCACGCAAAGTCTATGCAATCATCCATCAGGTCGATTTTTTCATCTTCTTTTAGTGGTAAAAACTTAACAAAGAGAAAAGTGAGAAAAGAGTGAAACTCCCATAGACTCTAATAGTAATCGAGACAAAATTAGATCCATTGAGAAAACCATGAAAAAAGAAGAAGACAAAAGAGTAAAAAGGAAGATGTGAAGATGAAAAAAGGGCAAGATAGGGTTGGGTCTCTTTTTTATTAAGTTACCAATGTTATTAACTAGACTTATTTTCTTATCATGGTTATTACCATTATCATCGTCATTATTATCACTATTATTATTCTCATTCTTTATTCTATTCTAACTTATTTTTTTCTCTCTTCTCCTTTTTCTCCTCAGAGCCAAATTTTGTTGGTTCCTATGATATCGGTGATAATGTTTATTTCTTTTTCCGGGAATCCGCCGTCGAGTATATTAACTGTGGTAAAAATATTTACTCTCGGGTTGCCCGAGTTTGTAAGGTAAGTTTTTCTCTCTCTAAATAATATAAATATGATGTTTATCATCATTTACTTTTATCACAATAATCGTATTGACAATTTCAAGTGTTTTAATATTATCATCATGTAATAATGTTGATTTATCATGAATTTGTCAGAATTTCCTTTTTGTCTTTTTGACAATCAGCTGTCATCAAAGTGTGTGACTATTATTGTTTTTTTCCTCTCTCTCCCTCACTTCTTGGTTGTTGGTCATCTTATGCTTATCATGATTCTGGACTTTACTGTTGATTTATTTGTGTTTACTTGTTATTTTCTTGTTGTTGTTGTTGATGTTTTTTAGTTATGAAAATGCAATATGAAAGTTGGTAAACAAGGCAATGCTTTTTATGCATCCTCATCCTTTTATCATCATTTCTTATCATCATTATCTTTTCCTTTCTGTCCATTATATGGATACTTTTTTTTCTTTCCTTCTTTCTATCGTTGGATATAATAATATTTTCCTATGGATTTGTTTACTTACAATAACCAATCTTACAATCTCAGGAGTTGAGTTAATTTGGACGATATTTATATATAATTTTACTAATGTTGATAATGAAGGTGACACTTTTCCTCTATTTCAGCTTGGTGAGGTTTTCCTCTTCCTTTTGTGCCTCTTCCTCATCTTTCAGAATTTACAGTAAACTGTTAATCGTAAAGAAGAGAAATAGAAAACCTCTGGATTCTCTTTTATCATCTTCATCATCATCATTTCTATCTCCCTTTCTCTCTCTCTATTTTTTTCCCATAATCTCTTGTTGACAAGAGATGCAAATAGTAGTTTAAATATTTGCTCTAGTAAGTGCAATTATAGATGAAAATGTCATCATCATCATGTACATAATCAAGGATGTAAGACACAAAATGATGAGAAGAGTGTTGGAGAGAGAGAGAGAGAGAGAGAGAGAACTGAGGGAGTTTGAGGAAAAATGATGAGAAATTAGGCTTCAATATCAAATTTTTGTGAGATGTCAATTGATGAAAAGTAAATTCTGTTTGTATGAATTTCAAATACTATTGTTGAACTTGAGTGAATCAAAAATCAACAAGAAAATTGTCAATTTTCCTCCATGTTGATTATCTTCAAATGATGAATTTAATATAACTATTATGAATTCGTCTCCTTCTCTCTCTTGATCTGATACATATTTTAATACATGATGATGATGAATGAAGATGAGCAAGTAAAAAAAACATTCAAATTATGTATATTATTTTACTTCATTTTCATTACCATGATTATCTTGATCATCTTTCTCATCTTTCTCGTGATATTTATTCCCTATGGATTGTTAACCTTTGTTGTTAACTCAACTGTTATTATTATACATGTTAAGTCTCATTTTCAATTCTTCCTCCACCTTCATCTCAACCTCCCACCTCCACCTCATCATCCTGGATTTGGTGTGTGTGTATGATACATAAACATGCATTATATCATTATTATTAGATAATATATTATTTATCATAAATTGTATTTTTTCAAAACTGACTTGACTCATTTGGAGGATTATTAGATGATGAAAGTAACAATATCATTGATGTTGATTGTTGTTGATGTTGAAGATGATGAAAAAATCGTTATAATCTGTTAAATTATGAATGATTAACTGAGTAGCAATCAAATTTTAGCTGTTTGATTGTTGAGAAACAATCAAATGTAGCAGATTATTGAACCGTTTTCTCATGATGATCATGAGAATCTGATGAGATTCATGATTATGATGATGATACCTTGGCACTTGTCAAATCAGGGTTAATGAATACATTTGAATAGCTTTTGGTAATTTACAAAGTTAATTAGTTTCCATCAACAAAAATTTGATTTGCAATTTACAATCTGTTCATTTGATAAATCTGGTTAAGCCTTTTTTAACCTTTTCATAGTTAATCATGACTTTTCATGAGAAGAAATTCTGATGAACAGAATTGAGAGATTTTTTTCTTTCCTTTTTTCCTCATTCTCTCAATATTAATCATTGAGAGAGAAAGTGAATTAACTGCTCCCAATCAAATGAACATTAACTCTGAACTTTTCTTTATTTTTGTTTTTTTTCTTTCATGTGTTTGTTTATCTTTGTTCATGATAATAATTCAAAATCTTGATCAATCAACTTTTCCAGAATCATTTGTTTCTCAAATTATCATTATCATGAAAGAGAGAGAGAGAACTATTCAATCGATTTCAACTGAATCATTCTATGAATCACCGAATATAACAGTACTTACCCTGGAGTTTTTTTCCCTTCATTTTACTCATTATATTTTTCAACATTTTTCATGACTCTTGATCATTAATTCTGATAATGTTAATCATTGATTAATCAACTGATCAATGATAGCTAGTTGATTTCTCTTTTTCCAAAAGCTAAAAAACTTTACTCTCACAAAGTCTCATGTTTATATTATTCATGGTCTTATATGAATCTGTCAGAATAGAAGGTAGAACCTGAACTCATTTTCATCATGTTATATGAATGACTGAGTGTTTCATTTTCATGGTGGAAATTTGTCTTCTCTATCTCTCTATAATCCTCTTCACTCCCACAGCAAATCAGGATAAAAGTTGATGGTGATTCTGTTATAACTTTACTGAATAACTATTACTGAAAATGATGAGAACGATGATAATGATCAGTCTCCCAATTGGTTTCTCATACCTTTTTTTGTTCACTACAAAAATAATATTGGTATTTGATGTTAGGTTGTTACTATTATCTTTTCACAAAGATAACGGTTCTTCGCATGATGATTATCATCTTCATGATACATTTTGTATAATAATAATATCAGTTGGAACAAAGTTATAACTGTTTTTTTATCTTCCACTTACTAAATCTCTCAAGTTTGCAAAAGAAAATGATGAGAAGTAATAAGTGAGAAAGAAGATGAACTAAAAGTTCTGGAAGAAAATTTAGAATCAGAAAGATTTTCTCTCTCTCTCTCTCTTACCTTTTTTCCGTTTTCTTTTCTCCATCACTCAAGATTGATTGAAGTTCTGATTTTGTTCCTCTTTCTTTCACTTCTCATCTTCATCTTCCATCTTGATATTGCAATGAAAAAATAGCTTCTCATTTATCTCTGGTCATCTTGGTTCATCGTGAGGTTTCATGAATTTCATCTTCTTACAATACTTGTTATTCTTGCTCTTCTTTATCATCTTACTTTGATTTTTTTCCTCTCTCACTCTGTTGGAAGTCTCCTTAATTTTGTTTACCTCTCTTTTCATGTATTTTACCTCTTTCACCATCATCATTTTCTCCCTTTATCTTTTGATAAAAAGCAACAAAAAACTCCTCCAACATCATTTCTTCTTCCTTTTCTTCATCATCATCTGTGAACATCCAAATGGTTAAAATACCTTTTCCACTCTCAAGGTAACATATTTTGGTTCATTCTAGGTACACACTCTTTAATACCATGAATAAGGAGAGATAACTCAGAGTAATGGTGAAAATAATGAAAAAAAGGTACAGAATTATAACAGAAAAGGATGCTACTGATGAAGATAAAGATAGCGTCTTGTCGTTGTTGAGTAAAGAATCAAGCGTGAAGAAGATTCAATGAATTCTTTTCTTCGCTCTCCCTCTCCCTCTCCCTCTCTCCTTTCCTTTCTCTCTCAGAATCATGATGATGATCATGAGGCCAGTGAAAGAAACTGAAGCTCAATGGACCTTATTGGACATTATTAAGTGAACAGTTTCGATAGTCCTTCAATATAATCATCAACTTGATACAAGGAAGAAAAAAAGAAATGGAAATATCTTCTTCTCTTTCATCATCATCTTCTCAGTATCATCATCTTTTATGAATTGAAATGGGCAAGGTTTTTGCTGCTTTTCTCTTTGACATAAGCAGTTATCAAATCACTATCCTCTTTCCCTCCATAATCATCATCATTTCCCTTCCTCTCCCCTAATGGAGCATCTTCTTAACCACCTTCTTTTTCATTTCTATTCCATCTTCTAACAACTATCATCAACATGATGATAATGATGATAGTATTTCTTTTTCTCTTGAAAATGAGGAAAAACATCTTAGATATATAATATATCTTTGACATGTTACAATGTTATTGTTCAGTATTTTTGTGTAACATTTTCATCCTCATCCTCAACTTTTACTATCACTCACAATAATATTATACACATTTTCTTGTGTGTCTTAAATCATGTGTTTATCATCATTCAATATCAATGGTGTTTATATTGTATAAATTTTATACAATGTTATAGCTTTGGATGATGATGATACAAGAGTAGGACAAAAAAGTAAATGGAAAAGTTTTTCTTTTTTTGGAAGAAGATGAGTAAGAATGAAAAAGATTACACTCCAAATGATAACATTTTGAAAAGGAGAGTCTTTTCCTCTCTCTATCTCTTTCTCTCTCATGACATTTACTTTTTCATCCATAGATTTTCAAGTTGTTTATTTGATTATTTCCGGTTCTATGTTGTTCTCAGGTCAAGCAACACTTTGTAACAAGATAGAGGAGATATTCAAATAACTACACTAGGAATTTGACACAACAAGGAGAATACGATTAAGATGATGACAGGAAAATGGAAGAGGAGAGAGAGAGAGAGAAAAAATATATGAAATTCAGGTTAAGAAGGAAAAGGAAGTGAGAGAAAAAAATTTGTAAATTATTTTCGAGTTTGCGTCGAAAATTAGAAATGTTCAGGTTTGAGGTGAGTGATATGGATGTTTGGGTGATGAGAAGAAAGAAAAATAAGTGAGGATAAGGAGAGAGATGGTTGACTTAACCGTGGAAATGTGTGGTACATATTTTCAGCTATTTGTTGAGGGTTTATTGTAAATTAGCAGAGAACCATGGAAGGGTGATGAGGAGGGAAGAGGGTGGGAGAGGGAAAGTGTTTTCTTCCTTCACAATCATCACCATTATCTTCACCCTTAACGTTGATCATGCATCAGGGAAAATGCTTGTTGGTTACTAGATTCAGAATCCGTGATAA